ATCTCTGTTAGTTCCAATGTTGGAACTACTGTTTACTGTTTTGGTGGCCATCAATTGACTGTTCGGTCTTTTAAGACCTACTATACTGTTCTGTTATTGAATGTACCACGTATGACTGCTATGATTTCTAAACGACTGATATGACATGAAATATGAGACATTGATTTAATGAATGATCTACTGATGCAATTGACTGTTTTAACTACTGAAAGGACGTTCATTCTTAACCCTTTTACACATTTGTTATTCACTAGGCTTACCTCACTGTTTCTATATGTATGTAGGTGATCAAGCACCAGACCGAACTTAGCGACGTTGACTGGAACCCCTGTTTTGTCAAGCCAACCAATTATGCCTCACTACGAGGTTTTGAACCATAATGTATCAAGGCTTTTTGGGTGATCGAAATCTATCCTTTTTGGATTGTTAATTGGAGTCCTAAGGATGTTTTATAATTTGTTTTGGCTTTGGGATTTAATTCCCTACAATGTTCTTTATTTTGTACTTAGATGTGTTTTGGACCTAAGTGGTTGTATGTATACGCTTGGACATGGACATGAACTTATGTGTGTATTGGTACAGATGTATATTGAGGTTGTTTGTTCATTCAGGGCCTCACAACTCATTGAACGTTGTTGTAATTTTTGTTCAACTTTCACCAGTCCCTTTTCATTGTATTATTGTCATTATTGTTAAACAGGCCTTCGGTAATCACGGATTACTGGCCGGTTACGACGCTAAATCTATAGGGGCTGGTTTGGGTTGTGACATTTTAATTGAACTTGTCCTTTTGGATAAACTAATTAAGCACCTGATCCTCTCATTTTACAAAATTATAATTTGAATTTATGAACCAATTGCCTATAACTTAAAGGTGAAATTGTAAGTTCTCTTGCATTATTACTCAAAAAAGTATACACACCATTTGGTTTATAAATTTTTTTTTTAAAAAAAAAAGTGACATGTAACTCTTAAATTCAATAAAATTGATGCTATTGTTTAAAATGTAAAATAATTATAGATAATTTCATCATAAATTATGAAATACTAATAAAATAGAAAATAAATAAAGTAATTTTTATAAAATTAAAAAATTATTTTATTATACATTTCATAAATACTTGTAAATATAAAATTAATAATAAATTATTTAAAAAATTAGAGGGAGACGGGGCCCTACATAGTTCTGCCACTGTTAGTGGTTGTTTTCAAGATATATTTTGATGAAGCTATTATTTTGCAAAATGGCTTGACGCTAAGGGGATGAAAAGTATGAGTCCAAATCCTCTCCAGCCCTTCCGTCTAGCCCTTTCTCCGGTCAACGGCCATGATTTGGCCACATCACTCCTAACAAAATCTACGGTTTAGATTAGCTAAAAACAAAAATTTTGAATTTCATTCAGCACAGCAAAACAGAGTTTCCCTTCCATATCTTCCTATTCACTTTTTCCCTCCCTCTTAAGTTTTGGTGAAGCGACAACTCCATCTTGTGACATCGACGGCGGCAAACATCGACAATGGCGAACATCGACAGCTCCTTCTCGGCCTCTCCTTTTCTCCCTCTGTCTATCTCTTACTCCTTTAGCACATCATCTTGACTCCGAAGATTTTAGCCGCTAACCAGAGCTCCAGTGTAACAACTGACTTTGGGAGACCACTCGAGCGGTCATTTGGTCTCTCTAGTGGAGAATTATTTCCTCCCATTAACTTGTAGGTTTATAGGCGAGACCGCTTGAGTGAAGGAATTGTCGCTCAAGCGTAAAATGTGAGCTCCCAATATTTTCACTATAGCTCTGCAAAAACTTGTGAGACCTTGCGTTTACTGCTCATGTGGTGAAAAGTTCGCTCGAGCGGTCCCTTTGCATTTTGGTTCTTTGCTCGAGCGATGGAAGTTTCGCTCGAGCGGTCATGTCGAGATAGCAGATTTAAATCACGATCTAAACACACTTTTGACAGACTTTTTCATATTTTCTCTCTCTTTTTTTTCCCTTTTCGAAAACCCTAGTACTAAAACACTAGATTTCATCTATATTTAGCAAGAATCCATCTTAGTTCCATCGTTAAAGTCGTTCTCCTCTCCAAGAGCTACGCTTTGAACCGACTAAAACGTAGTATCTCGAAAGCTCATCGGGTGGACCTTCATCTTCCATTATACAATTTTGAGGTAGGAATATCTTTACCCTTGTATATCCACATTTTGGTTTAAATAGGTATGAATATTAAGATTTATGGGATTATTGAGATGAATGAAGTATATATATATATATATATATCCATGGGTTGTATGCAAGGAAGTGTTTCTTGAAATTGATGATGGATTATGAAATTAACTATGAAATAATGTGTGAATATACGTGAACCATGGGAAAGAAACAATTGGAAGAAAAAGCCCCAAATTCTTATGTGAACCCTAGTGGTTTGTTCATGATTATGATGAAGTGGATGTTAATAAGTAAAAACTTGGAAAATTCTTGAAATTATTGACATTGGATGAGAAATGTAAATGTTTTGGAATGTGTTTGAGGTGCCCACTTGCCCAGTCATGTGAGGACGCCGAATGTGGGGTTTTTTTATTCATTAAATTATATATTTCATGGTTTCTGGTTTGCCTGGTTTCACTCTCTTCTCTCTTTTCTTTAGGTTTTTTTTTGTTTGGCCTATTAAACAGTTAAAATGGCAGATTATCAATCATCCTTTCCACTGTATATGAAACCCACATCATTGATATAAATACCAAATTGAGCAGTGTAGATCAGTGCGAATCTTGACAAAAAATTCATTGAAAAAAACATATTACCTTAAGTTTGATGAAGTGCAGATCAGGGCTCTGGTTCGCAATTGAAATCTTCAGAGTAAGGATGATGTGCTGTGGGAGAAGGAGACAGACAGAGAGAGAGAGAGTGAGAGAGATTGAGAAGGAGGTATTGATGTTCGCCATCGTCGATGTTCGCCATCGTCGATGTCACGAGATGAAGTCGTCGCTTCACCAGAATTCAAGAGGGAGGGAAAAAGTGAATGGGAAGATGATGGAGGGAAACTCTGTTTTGCTATGCTGAATGAAATTCAATTTTTTTTTTTAGCTAATCTGAGCTGTAGATTTTGTTAGGGTTAACATGGCCAAATCCTAGCCATTGACTGGAGGAAGCACTGGAGGGAGGGGCTGGAGAGGATCTGGACTCGAAAAGTAGTGTCCTTTGCTAAAGGGTCTGGATTTATTTGTCTTGTATTGTAGCTGAAGAGGGTAATTCTTTGATGGTGATGGTGGTAGTTAAAGCTATAAATGGTGGTGGTGAGAAATCTCTAGGCTATTGGGCTCATTGTGGAATAGCATTCAAGCAGGCATGTGGATTGAGTGTTTTGTTAAATTTAATTGCTCTCATATTCATTTCAAGGATTGAAGTTGTTTCTCACCATGTTTAGTTTCAAAAAATTGAACCTACGCTTTAGAAAATTAAATTTTTTATTTTTTATATTTTTAGTTAACATTTTTAATATCTTAAGAATTTTTTTTTTATCTTTTAAATGCGCCTAACCTAAATACACTTAAAAAGAATAATATCTATGAAAACATATTTAAAAATTCATCAAATACAAAAAATATAAAAATTCAATATATTTTCGTATTTTTGTGTATTTGTTGAATTTTTATAATATTTTTTCACAAATATTTTACTTTTTAGGTACATCTAAGTTATGTGTGTCTATTGTCACGACCCAACCCCAGGGACATAGGGCTGGAGTCGCAACTTACTAATTAATTATAATCTTAACAAATTAAGTGGCGCAAGCGGAAACGAAATAAAAGTAAGAAACTAATTAAATAGATTATTAATTTCATTAATTACCCTCCTATGGAAATAAAAAGGAAATACATCGGAAATACATCCACTGCGTTTTATTATTTTATTATGCGGCGACAAAAAGTTAGAGAAAAAAAAATGTAACAGGTACAAATTCATGTGGGTCCCACTATACGAGGTTACAGTTCTTCTCTACATCTCATTACCTGAAAGGGGTAACAGCTATAAGCACATAGCAGAGTGAGAAATATTATATCAAGAGTATAAGGGACACAAAATAACCATGGATAGTTATTTAAGTTAAAACATTAACATAACTTAATTTGAATAAACAAATTATTTAAGTGGCAGAAATTGAAATACAAAAATTATGTAAATAAATAACCATAACCACGGTCCAGAACATAATAGAACAGAGGTCACTGGAGTGATAGTCAGAATAGAGGTCAATGGATTTATGACAAACAAACGGCCACAAGGTGACTAATCAGAAGCCAATAGTTTATTTAAGTCCCCCAAGGCATGAGACTCTCGTGGTGATACTTACAGAAAATAATTGTTTACAAAATCATTGTCAAATAATTATAAAAATTTAAACAAAAATATCCATGGGTTTCAGTTTAAGCAAATAAAGTTCAGAAAATAATTAACGTAATCAAAATATTAATATATGTTATAAAACACAAATTACGTAAAATGAATAATGATAACTCAAAATATACGTAAAATATATTACGGTGACTCAAGGTATAATATAACTCTTTTATTGTTTCCCCGCTCTCTTTTTAATTTTCCGAGCCCTTCTATCACCGTTGCCCGTTGTTTCTTTCCTATTTCCGTTGGTTTTTCTTTACTTCCTACGAAGTTCCTATTTATAGGCTCCAAACTTTCTTACCACGCATGGTCCCTAGGCCAATTTGTTTCCATGTTGCTCCCTTTTCATTATTGCTTTGGATATGTTTTGGATAAGCCTTTGCCTTATCTAAGCTTCCAAGGCTTATCCAGGACATGAACCACTTTTTTTTTTTTTTTTGACCCTATAAAATCATATTTACATTTCCTTCCTCAATGGCTACATATTGTCATATATATATATATATATATATGGTGATATTAACTTAGTGTTAAAATTAATTAAACATTTGGGGTGTCACATTTCTCCCATCCTAAATAAAAGTTTGTCCTCAAACTTGTCATACCTTAGTTTTTGAAAAGGTGTGGATATCGGGCCCGCATTTGATTCTCCGTTTCCCACGTAGCTTCTTCAACACGATGATTTCGCCATAAGAATTTTACCAGAGGTATGGTCTTGTTTTGGAGAACATAATCACGACGATCTAGAATCTGTACTGGTTGTTCTTCATAAGAGAGATCTTCTTGAACTTTCAGGTCCTCATAATCCACAACATGCTCTGGATCTTGAAGATACCGTCGCAACATTAAAACGTGAAACACATTGTGAACATTGGACAGTTCAGGTGGCAGTGCAAGGCGATATGCCATAGATCCAATTCTTTCTAGTATCTCGAATGGCCTGATGTAACGTGGGTTTAACTTTCCTCGCTTTCCAAATTGGATAACCCCTCTTGTTGGTGAGATCTTTAGAAACACGTGATCTCTTATTTGAAATTCTAAGTCCCGTCTTCATTTATCTGAATAGCTTTTCTGGTGGCTTTGGGCAGTGCAAATTTTTTGTTGGATGAGTTGAATTTTATCACTTGTTATTTGCATGATCTCGGGACCTATTAGTTTCATGTCCCCAACTTCCGTCCAACACAGAGGTGATCGACATCTCTTTCCATACAGTGCTTTGTACGGTGCCATTCCAATGCTTGCTTGGTAGCTGTTGTTATAGGCAAATTCCACCAAAGGTAGGTGCTCATCCCAGTTACCTTTGAGGTCCAACACGCATACATGTAACATTTCTTCCAAAGTCTGGATTGTTCTTCCAGATTTCCTATCAGTTTGCGGGCGATAAGCATTGCTAAACTTCAGTGTAGTCCCCAAAGCCTTTTGCAATTTGTTCCAAAAGTGAGACACGAAGCGGGGGGTCTCGGTCAGACACGATTAAAACTAGGGTGCCTTGCAAATGAATGATTTCCCTGATGTATAAAGTGGCGAACTTATTAAGGGTGTACGCGATTTTGATTGGTAGAAAATGCGCCGATTTCGTCAATCGGTTTACTATAACCCATATTGCATCATTCTTCGAAACTGACTGTGGCAGCCCAACCACGAAGTTCATAGTAATGTGCTCCCATTTCTATTCAGGAATAGGGAGTGGTTGCAGCATTCCTACAGGTCTCTAATGTTCTTTTTTAACACACTGACAATGCAGGCATTTGGAGATGTCGCTTGCTATGTCTCTTTTTATTCCTATCCACCAGTAATGTTCCTTCAGATCATGGTACATCTTTGTGTTGCTAGGGTGGACTGCAAACCTCGAGCTATGAGCTTCTACCAATATCTTCTTCTTGAGTTCTGGAAGGTCAGGTATGCAAATTCGATTTCAAAATTTTAGTATCCCATTGCTTAGTGAAGTCAGGATTGGGCGTACTTCTTTGCTCCTTGTACTTTTTCTTTAAAAGTTTATCTTCACATTGGTGTGCTTTAATTTCTTCAATCAAAGTGGGTTCCATGGTCATATTGGTGAGAAAACCATTAATTTGGCGGGAAATGAGAGTGCCCTCCAAACTTCTGCTCATCTTTCGACTTAGTGCGTTTGCCACCACGTTAACTTTACTTGGATGGTGATGGATCTCTACATCATAAGTCTTTCATAAATTCTAGCCACCGTCATTGCCTCATTTTCAGTTCCTTTTGTATAAACAGATATTTAAGACTCTTGTGGTCAGTGTAAATCTCGCAGGTTGCACCATAGAGATAATGATGCCAGATCTTGAGGGCGAAAATCACTGCAAGCAATTCTAGATCATGGGTTGGGTAGTTTCTCTCATGAGTCTTTAGTTGGCGTGAGGCATAAGCAATTACTTTTCCATTTTGCATAAGAACGCAACCCAAACCATTATATGAGGCATCACTATAAATTATGAACCCATCAGTTCCCACGAGGAGTGCTAGTACGGGAGCTGACACAAGTCTGCTTTTAACTCTTGAAAGCAATGTTCTTGTTTGTCTGTCCATTCAAAGGGTACGTTCTTCTGAGTTAGCTGAGTTAAGGGTGATGCTATCTTTGAGAAATCTTGCACGAAGTGCCAGTAATAGTTAGCTAGACCCAAGAAACTTTGAATTTTTGACACATTAGCAGGTCGTTACCAATCCACGATTGCTGCAACTTTTTGAGGGTCAGTTGAAATGCCATCCTTGTTAATGACATGACCGAGGAAGTGTACACTAGTGATCCAGAATTCACATTTCTTCAATTTTGCATAAAGTTTGTGATCACGTAGTGTCTGTAGAACTCTTCGCAAGTGGTGTTCATGATCTTTTGGTGATTTGGAGTATATAAGAATGTCGTCAATGAAGACAATGACGAACTCGTCAAGATAGGGTTTGAACACCCGATTCATGAGGTCCATGAAGGCTGTTGGAGCATTTGTGATGCCAAATAGCATAACGAGAAACTCGTAGTTCCTGTAACGGGTTTTGAAGGTAGTCTTTTCGATGCTTTCCATTTTGACTTCTAATTGATAGTAGCCAGAACGCAAGTCGATTTTTGAAAATACTTGGGCGCCTTGCAGTTGATCGAAGAAGTCATCGATTCGTGGCAGAGGGTACCGATTCTTTATGGTGACTTTGTTCAGCTCCCGGTAATCAATGCATAATCTCATCATGCCATCTTTTTTCTTTACAAATAGTACTGGAGCTCCCCAGGGTGAGGTACTAGGTCGAATGAAACCTTTGTCTAGTAGTTCCTGGAGTTGAGTCTTCAGTTATTTCAATTTTTTCATAGACATGCAGTAAGGAGCTTTTGATATTGGTTGTGTACCCGGTTGAGTTTCAATGGTGAATTTGATTTCCCGGTCAACTGGGGTACCAGGTAGGTCTTTGGGAAAGACATTTGGGAATTCTCTAACCACGGGGATTGCATCAACGGTGGGGGCCTCTTTTTGTGTATCGGTCACATAACAGATATAACTACAACAACCCTTTCTTAAAAGTCATTGGGCTGTCATGGAGGATATAAGACAGGGAAGGGTGGAAATTCTGGTTCCATCAAAGACAAGCTCGAGTTGGTTTGGTAGCCGGGGGGAGGCTTTTTTGGCTTTACAATCGATAGAGGCGTGGTTGACAGCCAGCTAATCCATCTCTAAGATTACATCAAAGTTTCCAATGCAGAGGGGAATCAAGTCTACGTATAAGGTTTTGCCTTTTAAGGATATAGTACATGATTTGTACACATTAGTACTAAGGGCAGAATTACCAGAAAGAAAAGACACAGACAATATATATCATAAGGGTTCGGGTGTTGATGTCAACTTGGTAGTAAAGTGTGGCACAACAAAAGAATGAGTTGAACTCGAGTCAATGAAAACATAAGCTAAATGACCATAGATAGAAAATGTACCTAACACAACGTTTTCGGTAACTTCCGGTTTTTCAAGTACTAAGGCAAAAGCCCTTCCTTGGCGTTTTTGGTCCTTGCTCCATCCTCCAGGTCCTGCGGATTTTCTGACTGGTCCAGAGGGGATTGGTAAGCTTTGGACAATCCCTCAGCAAGTGGCTAACTTGACTGCATTTAAAGCATGCTCCCCGTGTCTTGATCACATTGTCCCCAATGAGCCTTCCCACAAGTAGGACAAGTTGGAATAGTGCCACCTCTGGAGTTAGCAGGACCTCGATTGCTTGAACCGGTTATGCCTGTATTTACTCTCTTAGGAGGCATAACACCAGATCTTCTGTTGTCTCTTTTCCAAAATTGCTTCTTTTGGCTTGGTTCCCCGGAGCGCAAGGCCTTAATCTATTTTTTTGCAATGTACGCTCGGTCTACCACTTCCGCATAGGTTGGTAGTTTCAAAACCTCAAGCCTATCTTTGATTTCAGTATCCAATCCTACTTCGAATTTCCTTGCTTTTCTAGCTTAGGTGAGGATGACATATGTCGCAAATCGAGCGAGTTATGTGAACTTGCTCTTGTATTCGGCCACCGTCATGGTCCCTTGCTTTAGATGTATGAATTCCGACGCCTTTTGTTCCCACAGTGAATCTATTCCAAGAATCTTGCCCAAGTCATGATTTCTTCTTTCTCCAGGGTGAGAAGCCACCATTCTTGCATAGTATCCTTGAAAGTGAAAGTGGCGAAAGTTACCTTCTGCCTTTCGGTGGAGGGTAAGGTACGAAAAATCTTTTCCATGTCTTTAACCCAAGCATCTGTTACCCTTGGGTCTGGACTGCCGGTAAATGTGGTGGGTTTCAGATCCTGAAACTATTTTATGGTAACCGGCTCTTCTCGTCGTTCTAGTATCCCATTGTTTATGTTGGTCCGCAAGGCTTGCAGCTAGTACCCACTCTTTGCATGATTTTTTCAATTGATTCAGTGCCACTGATTGATGACTCGCTTTCGTTATCATTATTGGCCATTCTACAAAGTAATAAACGAGGCATTACATTCATAATGCGACATATATACAAAATACTATCTTTTCTATTTTTGCAAATATAATATTACATCCTTGTCCCAAAAATAAAAAATTATGTTAGTGTCTCATCCCTGTGGTACAAAAACAAAATAGGGATCAGAACTCATCATGGTTAGCTTACAAAAGAATTTCTGCAAAATCTAAATTGGTGGGTCAAACAACCACGGGAAGTAGTGTTGCATAAAAAACTCAATCTCACATCCTAATTGTAAGACACCAAAACAAACCCACGTTACCTGGACTGTATAAATGGGGACAAACTGTAGGTATCCCCAAAATCCTCGATCAACGATCTATCAAGGTATCTCGATGTATGATAAGTCATTGCTAAAATCAATATTATGAATATTAATAATTCCCAGAGGGTTAGGGATATTGGTGACTATGTAGTCTTTGGGGTAAACATTTTCCCTTCTTTCAGCAAAATCTAGGGGCAAAGGGCCAATTATATAGTGAGGGCATCATATCCCGGGGCAAGGCCAACTACGCGGGTGGGTTTGAGATATCATCAGCGCGTGTAGGCACGGCTCTGCCTCCACAATAAGTATGCTATATCATTATGTCGACATGTATATATATTGGCCAACCCATCAATTGGGCAAGGCCTAGATGTAGTCGCCTAACTATGTCTTCCGAGTCTCCCTATCCTTCCGATGAGGTGGGGGTGTAGTGCTCCGCCAAGATGTCCTCCAAATTTATAGCCCCGAGCTCCTCCCAAAATGCCTCATTAAGATTCAACTTGGACATTCCTATATCACTAGAATTAGCCATAGTACAAACATGAGATTCATACAAGGACTAACATGGCAGGTAAAAGATTTATTTCTTTAGTTTATTATTTATTTATTATTTCTAACCATTGCTCTGATACCACCTTTGTCACGACCCAACCCCAGGGACTTAG